ATACTGACTGGATTTTTTTTAGGATTTTTTTATAGTATGCTATGATGGAATATTGTCTAGATGTTACAAAGATGAGATGAAATGTCACTGAGAACCACCTCACAACATGAGAAATAGTTCATACTTTAAAAGTAGAGAAAAGGAAACAATGAACTCACATGCTGATCATAAATTTGTAATTATTTAAGAAGGATACATAAGTATCTCTGTATATTTTATTAAATAGAACTATGTATTAAATTTCACAGTAACAACTATATATCACCATTAAATGATACAGCAGAAAAATTATAGAGTTCATGCAATGGAGATATCAAATTTGTTAAAATATTAATAAGAAATACATTTGGATATAAAAGTAGAAGCTATGCTGAAATGAATGAACTTTTAGATTAAAGAGCTTATGATATGCTTAAAGTATTTCTGTTTTAAGCAAATACAATTGCAAAATTTAAAAAAATGTGGATTAATATAAGGTGCCAAGCTTTTATGTCTTTGGCCCAGACGATAGGGAGGTCCCATGGTATGGTTGAATGCGCATGGCTAATTGCTCTAGATATTATCATCTCTGCAGACTAGGCCATGCATTTCCTCTCTCTAATCCTGCTTTCTTCTGTATATGTGAAAAAGCAAAACTGAATTCAAGATTATTTTCTCCTAGAATGCAGCAAGGTCTACTAGCTATAGAGAGCTGTAGACTTTGTAAGTCTTGTTACCTTCCCTTTTCCTTTTGTATCTGTAGTTTATACTCAAATGACAATTTCCCTTAGCATTAAAGAGAAAAAGAGACACACACACACACCAGTGAACTAGAACATTTCTTCCAAGGGAAGAAATAGAAGGAAGATATTGACAAGCCATGAGGAAGATGTACCGTATTGACACTGCCATGGTCCATTACTTGCCCCCAATGAATGATTACGGAATATACTTTCTTTTTTTGCAGTTTCTTGCTGCTCAGACCAAAAGGACATGAAGGCTCTTGCCTCAAGCAGACAGTCAGAATAGCCTAACTGTAGGAAGTAGCAAAGTATTAAACACAGATGGTGTTTTCAAAACTCTGCCAAACTGGAATATGCATACCATTTATAAAGACACCTACATGCAGATTTGTAAAAACCATCACTTTGTGAGACATAGGAAGGGCCAAATTTAAAGCTATTAGTTTGCCATCTCAGAATCATCAAAAATTTGTGGCAGACTTGTAAAATTTATGTATAATTCAAAAGAACCAATGTATGGTTAAAATCTAAGCCTTCAGGGTTTGTGATGATTCTAGATATTAACTCCACAGTGGCTTGTCAAAATCCATCAATACCCCAAGCCAGGGAACCAGGTTGCCTGATAAACTGGAATTCTTATCCTTGTGTGTGTGCTCAGAGGAGATTATGTAATAACTTTAAAACGAGAAGAAGTTATACCTAGGACAGGCTATTGTTGTGAGAATCAAGTAAGTTAACACTTGTAAAGTACAAGCAACATCTTAAATTCTGTGAATTCAATAAATGTTGGCTCTTTTATTTTTGAAATAAAATTACTCCTTTTAACAAGCCCCCACAAACATTCAATTTTGTTTTGAGGCTACTAAATGGGAATGAAGTGGGGGCTTCGAATTTTCTAAATGATGAAGTATTATTGATATTGTTTGAACTTAGGAACTCAGTGTTTTCTAAAAAATGTTTCTAAAAACAATTTAGAAATCTCTGATTCTGGATGACTTTCAACTGTCTATCTCAGTTCTTAGAAGGATGCTCTTAACTGCTCAGCAGACACTAAAAATATGGGGTGTTTTGGCATGCAGGAACTGAGTGATGTCACCACAGGTCCATTTCGTTATGATTTACTCTGTGATTAATTTGTATAATCATGGCAATTGTAGTTAGAGCTATCATGTTTAAACTGTGTAGTAATAATGTTTTAGAATGGAGCAGAATTCAATGCTTTCTAAAATGGAATTTACATGGTGATGGTTATATTTAATGATGTATCATCCCTCTACTTCCCTTTCCCTACCACCACTAACTATATTGATCAACAGCTTTCACTGTTTTGCTATATACTTTGCTGTATACATATTTACTTCCACTGTATCACATAATTCTTCATCCTTTCTTTTTCCCTTCTTCTCTTTGCCTGTAAGTACTCCTTTTAGCTAGATTCATGTTATCTATCTATCTATCTACCTACCTATCTATCTATCTAATGGGTGTACATATGCACATATACCTATACCTATATACACCTATGCCTACAAATTTATATATACATTTATACATACATATATATCAATATGTACATGAATATGCATGTCTTTTAGTGCTAGCTTCCACATTATGAGTGAAAGCATTGAATATTTTGCTTTTTGCACTCGTCTTGCTCAATATGATGTCCTTCTATTTTGACTATTTTCTGAAAGTATCTTGATCTCACTTTTCTTCACTGTGTAATCTTTATCTATTCACCTACTATGGGGCATCTTGACTGGTGGATATTGTGAACAGTACTGCGATGAACAGAGATAAGAAGATACCTTTCTTGTATATTAATTTATACTTCTTCAAATATATGCTGAGCAGCGGTATGAAACACTCATAGGAAGCTCTGATTTTAATCTTTTGTGAAATCTCCAGATGGCTTTCTAAATGGGGTGCAGTAATTTACAATACCACCAACAGTATATGAAGCTTCCATTGTCACCCCACATTCTTGTCAGCATTTGTTGTAAATATGAATTATTGGTTGTAATTGGTTGTAATTTGCTTGTCTTAATATGCCATTTTTGGAATAGATAGAAGTTGATGTAAAGTCATAAAACACTTGTTAATAGGGCTACTGCCCTCCAGTATTTGAAAGCATCTTGAAGACATACTAGAAAAGAGAAAATTTTACATGATTGTGCATGGGTGAATGTCTTAGAAATCTTGAAACTATTGCTTGTTCAAACAGCAGCAGAAAAATCTGGTTAAATTTCTATTTTATATAGTAGTTAAAATACATCCTCTCAACAAATAAACATACTTCACAGCTTGGATACAATGGATAACAAATATCATTTCCAATGTGAAATATTAGAGGGAATAATGTGCATCATTTCTCAAAGCATTGAGGCTTATTTATTTGGCTTCCCAGTGTTTCATCTCCAGCTAGGAATTTGAGAACACAGTTGGCAAACACAGCAGGAGAAAATACCCTCCTGGCACCAAGGCAACAGGATACTCTGTCTGTGTAATTCCTGATCTCAGTTTCTCAAAGAAATCAGTGAATCATCAGGCCTTGTTCATTTTACTATGAGACACCTTAAAGAAAAGACTTGCAAAAAAGACATTCTTGCCATGTATTTAATTAGCATATATATGGAATTGTAGCTTTTATATGCAAAATAGAATTTATGGATCATGACACTAAGCATAATTATCATGAGTCTTTAAGAAATGAGGCCATTTTCAAGAATTTAATATTGTATAATTACAGTATCTGATTTCTATATGAATACTTTCTCTTTTTTTTTTTTTGTCGGTCATGGGGCTTGAACTCTGGCATTGGGCTCTGTCCCTCAGCTCTTCAGCTCAAGGCGAGCACTCTACCGCTTGAGCCACAGCCCCACTTCTGGTTTTCTAGTGGCTTATTGGAGATAAGAGTCTCATGGACTTTCCTTGCCCGGGCTGGCTTTGAACCATGATCCTCAGATCTTAGCCTCCTGAGTAGCTAGGATTACAGGCGTGAGCCACTGGCGCCCGGCATGAATACTTTCTTTACACCAAATATTTGTTGTCATTTTAACAAAGTAAAAGTTTAACAAAAATGATCAGTCCCATTCAAATTAACTCCCTAATATGAATTGATTTTCAAATGTAAGAAGAAAGTGAAACTGTCTTAGCCTTGCTATATGAAATTCATCATTTTGTTAGATGGCAACTTGAGAACATTAAACAATTCAGATTGACACTATGTGAATTTTGTAAGAAAATGTTCCTTTGGGAACATTTGTGACATTTGTTTTTCTTTCTTTCTCATTATTGGTGACTCTAATGCTGTAAAACATATTTCAAACTTTGAACCATTTATGGGTATTTATACTTGTAAATATAAAAATAGAAACATATGCCCACTGTGCTCTTAGTATGATACATTTGCCATAACTGTTTTTGTTACCATAACTGTTTTTGTTACCTTATTATTAAGGTAAGGATTGCATCTTTTTATCCATAAACAAGTGAAGTATTCCTGTTCCATTCCAGAGAGATAACAACACATCTAATTTGCACCAGAATCAAGAATGTTCACTTTTGTGTTTTGGGTTGTTTGTTTAGTTTGTTGTTTGTTGTTTTTGTTTTTGTTTCTTTAATTTAGAATTGGCCTGAGCCTAGAATTCAAACAAGCAAACAATTCAGGCAATGAAAAGGAACCATTTTCAGTTGATTCCTTATGGAAATCAAGGAGGTTTGGACAAAGTAGGTTTTGAAAAAAAAAACTTACTTAGGATAAGTCTCTTTCTCTCTCTCTCTTTTTTTTCTTTTTTGCCAGTCTTGGGGCTTGAACTTGGAGTTTGAGTTTTATCTCTGACCTTCTTTGTGCTCAAAGCTAGCACTCTATCACCTGAACCACAGTGCCACTTCTGGCTTTTTCTAAGTACTGTATAGAAGATAAGAGTCTCATAGATTTTATTGCCTGGGCTGGCTTCAAACTATGATCCTCAAATCTCAGCTTCCTGAGTGACTACCAGCATAAGCCACCAATGCCTAGCTAGTGTCCTTTGATAATCTTTCTTTGTACTGCATTTTACTTGCTCTGAGGTGAATGACATTAATGAAACAGCATCAAAATGCCTTTATTGAGATAGGTGGGTACTTGTTTCAGAACTCCTTCTGATTATCTCTGACATCAGGGAGACTTGGGAACTGATGTCTTTTTATTCTAAAATTAGTTGCAGTTGTGTACTACAGAATTCAAAAATGTGATTTATATCTCTCTTTATATTTGTTAACTCTTGCCAACTTTAGGAGATTGTCAACTTCAACTGTCGAAAGCTGGTGGCTACGATGCCTCTTTTTGCTAATGCCGATCCTAATTTCGTGACTGCTATGCTGAGCAAGTTGAGATTTGAGGTATTTCAACCTGGAGATTATATTATTCGAGAAGGAGCTGTGGGGAAGAAAATGTATTTCATTCAACATGGTGTTGCTGGTGTCATTACAAAATCCAGTAAAGAAATGAAGCTGACAGACGGCTCTTATTTTGGAGGTTGGTACATATAAAATGCAATCTTAACTTTTCTGAGATAAAAATCTAATTTCCTTTAGTTATATGTCTTTTTCAGAATTTTGGAGATGTTAAATATGATTTGTTGTTGTTGTTGTTGCTAATATGAACTTGTTTTTGAAGTCTATTAAGTGTTTCTGTAATTTTTTTCACCTTTCAGGGCTACAAGTTCACGACATGTGTATTTACTACCACCTTGTAGTGTATTGTTTCAACCTCTTTTATAGGAACTAAACAATAACAGCTTAAGTCACATGGAAAATATTTCTTCCTGACACAGAAGTCCTCAGAAAGTTACATGTCTGTCTCTACTGTAGTTTTTAGGGACCCTGATTCTATTTATTTTATTGGTCTCTCATGATTTTTATTTGTCCTTAGCTACATGTGAGGGATTCTTTCTACTATATTTTGATATACAGTAAGAAAAAAGGAATGTGTGGCAGTTTTTCTTCAGTTATGTGCCCCCAAGGTGCCAGTATGACAGTGATTCACATATATCTGGGCCAGGGGTGGTATCACCACTAGCTCTAAGTGCTGGGGAGAAATAGATCCTCTACTTAGGTAGCAAATATATTGGGAAAAAGTGTGAGGATTTGGATTATTCAAGCTTTTTTTTTTTTTACTATAACAAAATAGGCATTTATGCTTGTATACATATAGAAATTTAACTACTGGATTGAAGCCTATGAATATTTTAAATGGAGGTAAATCTCACTAACCTGTGTTTGATAAGACTGATTGTTCTCTTTGTCAATTCATTTGAAATTCTGTCCTCTTAAATAAGAATTATAGCTTACACTTCCTGTCAATTCTAATACAATTGAATATATATTTTATATTTAATATATTTAATATATATCTTTGTAGATAAAAGATGAAAGAGGAGACAAATTTGATCAAATTAGATTATATACATGTATAAAATTATCATAATACAACCTCTTTCTAAAAGTAATACATGCTAATAGAAAAACATTTAAGAGGGGCTGGGACGGTGGCTCAGTGGTAGAGCGCTTGCCTTGCATGTATGAGTCCCTGGGTTCGATTCCTCAGCACCACATAAGCAGAAAAAAAAGCCAGAAGTGGCGCTGTGGCTCAAGTGGTAGAGCGCTAGCCTTGAGCTGAAGAGCTGAGGGACAGCGCCCAGGCCCAGAGTTCAGACCCCACGACCGGACCCCCCAAAAAAAAAACACTTAAGAAATTATCTTTATTGAACTGCTAAATGTGTGCACTTGGGTGTATGCAGTTTGGACCTTCATCCTTAACATAGTGATTGATATATCATTTTTTTTGGCTAAATTAATCTAATTTTGAAGCCATCTTTACATAATTCTTATCATGAATCAGATATTCAACATTATCAAAGTCTCAATAAATGCTGGATATTTAAATATTTCTGTAATTTTTCAAATATAAAACCATGTTCTAATCTTTGATACTTATAGAAATTATTAACAGGCATTATAAAATAGATGAAATAACTAGATTTAATCTTTTGGTAATACCGATTTTTGAGCTGCCTATGTCCTAGATGTGTTTTTTTCCCCTACGTTTGTATGTTGAATCTCTAATCCTAATGTAACTGTACTAGGAAGAGTAGCCTTTGGTAACAAACTAAGTCCTGAAAGTGGACTTGTTGTGTCAAGCATAAAGCTATTTCTTTTTCTGTAATGTGATGATGCAGAACATGGATAGCCTGCAATCTGTGAGAGGGCAGAAACTAGAGCCTGGCCATGTTGGCACACTGGCAGCCTCCTAAGAGAAAGGTATTTCAGTCGTGCATACATCATCCTGTCCATGGTCTCTTGTTACAGTAGCCCAAATTGACCATGACATTGCTAAATACAGTAGCTAGACTATGTTTGATTTCTTCCTCATTTATTTTGTTTTTGCTCTGCGGCTTCACATGTGGGTTTCAGAGTCTCAGTACAACTTCGCTGACTAAGATCTTTGTCCTACTTGGGCAAATATGTTCTTCCTCTGTCACAACTGGGTGTGATTAATGTGCTGACGTTAGTAAAGTGTATCACATTCTTTGGGTAAATTTGTGTGCACTGTTAGCATGTTGCAGCACTATTTTAATGACCACCATCCAACTTCCTTGTATTGAATATAGGAGAGAAAGCGAAGGGGAAATGTGTCTATAAGAAAGCCGCAGCTTCTAAGAAGCATGCAAGGAGAGCAACTGCTTGCGAGAACTGAAGTTAAAATTTTTACCTATGAGGGCTGGGAAGGTGGCTCAGTGGTAGCGCGCTTGCCTTGCATGCCTGAAGCCCTGGGTTCGATTCCTCAGCACCACATAAACAGAAAAAAAAAAAGCCGGAAGTGGCACTGTGGCTCAAGTGGTAGAGCACTAGTCTAGAGCTGAAGAGCTGAGGGAAAGCGCCCAGACCCAGAGTTCAGGCCCACAACCAGACCCCCTCACAAAAAATTTACATATGAAAAAGCCCTCCAAGCCAGGAATTGGTAGCTCAGGCTTGTAATCCTAGCTACTCAGGAGAGGATCTCAGTTGGAAGCCAGCCTAGGCAGAAAAGTCTGCATGAGACTCTTACCTCCAGTTAACCACCAGAAAACTGGAAATGGAGCTGTAGTTCAAATTGATTGAGTCTTAAGCAAGAGAACTCATGGACAGTGCCCAGGCCCTTAGTTTAAGTCCCACAAGTGATAAAAAAGGGGGTGGGGCTCCTTTGATCTTATAAACTCTATATTATCATTCCAGAATTGAGGAAGTAGAGCAAGTCATCCTAGGAAAAGTCAATATTACCTTTGGAAACATAAGTGTACATCCAGAAATAATGAGAACTTCTTTGACTTTCTCAAAGTAACAGTTGGATTTTTTTAAAAATTACCTTCATGATTTCTTTCCTTTTTTTTTAATTGTGAAAATACTGTACAGACGGGTTACAATTACATAGGCAAGACAATGAGTATATTTCTTATCAAGCATTGTAGCCTCCTCCTTTGTTTCTCCTTCCCATCCATAGTTTATAGACATACATCTATAAGATATTGGGCTTTTTAGTCTTGTGCTATTTAACACATTCCTAAGTTCGTACTTGGTATGTGTCCCAGGCAACTTTATGAATGTTTTAAGACAAAAGCACTAATCTCAGGAATCTGAGATTTGGATGACAGTGATGCCCTTGGGTTACTGTATGGGCATCATTGCTGGTAGACAGATGGCTAATTTCTTACTGTGTCCTTATTTCAACTCTGTCTGTAGCTTGTTCTTTTTCTATGTGGCCTTCCACCTGTGCAAATAGCAAATGGCTTTATTATGAAGGTTTTGTGTGCTCTTAAATTTAGACCTCACTTCAAGTCTGCAGGTCTAAATAACTCACACCTTGCAATTGTACCAATGGGGTTGCTCTTCTGGAACTTTGTGCTGTGTGTCATTTAACTGGAAGTCTCTGAGTAGCCTAAACATATTTTAGTACTTGATTGTCTCCCATAATTTTGCAAATTAAATGATCAAAATTCTATTTTTAGGATGAAAAGGATTAGGAAACAGCATGATGTGGCAATGTGCTAGTCCTATAGGGCCTAGAAGGATGGAGCTGCCAGGCAATTTGTTTAAGGTCCAAAGGCTCAAGGCCATCATCTGTAAAATGAGGTCACTAAGACAGACACTCTTTACAATCCTAACAGCATGACAATTCTGTTGGAATGAGGCTCTTGGGGGAAGGCATATTTGCTTTGTTTTATTTTAGTCATTTTGTGGGCATCTAAACTGATGCCTTGCCTATTCTAAAGTCCCAGTATTGTTGAAAAATGGCTATGTTTTTGTTTGTAGCACTGTTGAGGATTTCTAAGCCAACCACATAACATTTTAAAATGAAACAGCCGCAGGTAATACTTGTGATGATTCATGTTCTGGTGGGGAAGGATTGTAGCTATTTTCTCATAGGTAATGAAAAGTAAAAAATTGTCAGAGTCTGAGCTATAAAGCTTGTGGAAATGTGAGAAGCAGAAGGATATTAGTAGAAGACCTGGAGATGTTATTGGGCCAGGAGAAAAATCATGGATCTTTTCTAAGACACTATTTCCATATCTGCAAATTCGAGCTAATATGATTACGTTTGCTTAGAGGATTAAATAATTCAACATGTCTAAAATGTTTTCATATAGTCTGTGTTATATGTTAAATATTGACATAAGCAAAATAGCTAAAGATACACACAGAAAACATTACCTAGTAATTATTGATTTATTGCTTGTAACAATGAACCAACACTTGAGAATCTGATTTTTAATTTGTATATTCTTCAGGTCTTGTGTTAGTTATGATCCTATATCAATTGTGTGCATTTTGGAAGGAATGAAAGTAAGGCTTGGTAAAATAGTCTGAAATATATTTTTAACCTAAGGATCACCTGCAAATTCTATACACCTGATCCTCCACAAAAATGTGAATACACACCAACAACCATTCTCATACATGAAATAGCAATCCAGGATTTTTAAAATCTAAATTTTCTAGAAATGAATGCCATGTATATATAATGGATTTTGTTATCAATAAATAATGAATATCTTGGGAGATACATTTAATCTGATTAAACAATATGCAGTACATATGAATCAAAACATTAAAAGTGTCCTGAATATGTACCATATTTATGTTTTATATATCTGTTAAAAAGAAGTAAAAATAGTCAAGTGCGGGTCGATCATGCCTATTACCCTAGCTACTCAGGATATTGAGATCTGAGGATTGCAGTTTGAACCCAGTCCAAGCAGAAAAAGTCAGAAGTGGATCTGTGGTCATGTACTAGAGCACTAGCCTTGAGCACAAAAGCTCAGGGACAGCTCCCAGGTCCTGAGCTCAAATCCCAGGTCCAGCACACACACACAAAGAACTAAAAGCATGTAAGATTTATCTATTTTCAGTACCAAATTCACAAATATATATCAAGAAAATGAAAGAACATATATAGTTGTCAAAATGAAATTATTCAGAAACATGTCTGTAAATTTCGAA